TACAGTAGCAAGTTAAACATACATGGTACCTGTCTTCATATTGTTTCCTATGCCTGTTGCCTGCTTGCTTACTTCCTTTCATTGTGTGGAGAACTCCTATTCAACCTTCAAAGGTCAGCTCAGATTTTACTTCTTCTCTGAAGCCTGTGTATACTCTACTCCCCTAACATTTGGTACATATTTCTCTGAGTTCATTGATTCGTTTTGCAAATGCACAGATCCCCTAAAGTAATATACACATTTTATGTGCAGGTGGGAATGTACGTTTGAAGAAAGAGGTGAAAGCTTTCATCAGGTTTTCAAAGGGATCTGAGCCATCCCCTACCTTTCCCCCTTCAACTCCTGAGAATTTAGAACTGTGACTCTGTTATGAGCACTTATTATATCCTGGTTCTGTTATTCCTTTGTAGGTATATATTTCCTACTAGAATGTGAATACCTTGACAATGGGACTGTATGTATTGCTGCTAATATTTTGTGTCAGCAGAATACCTGATTCCTAGTAGGCTTTTAGAAAGTATATATTGAAAGAATTGCTTTTTAATCTCCTTAACAGACTCAGCAATTTGAATGATGCTAGTGCTGAAGTATTGCTTAATTTGAAAGGGAATGTTCTTGCTTCTCTTAAACTAAAATCAGCTTTTCTTATTCCTACTTCTGTCTTCTGGAAGTATAAATTAAATGTCTGCCCTCCTCCATGTTATGATTGCCCTTTTATGAGAATTGATTGGGAAAATCAAAGAAAAAGAATTCACACAAGGGAATCATTAAAAAATAATGCATTTGCATCTTAAATATTTTCATTTAACACATGCAAATGTACTTTAACTTAACTAGTCTTTTATTATGAAACTAATATCATCATGTTGAATGTGAGTCTGATGCTGTGGACTCTTCTAGCTTTTTTCACTTATGCTATCCTAAATTCATTATCCAGAGTTTCCAGTTTAAGTTCTTTAAAGTGGAATGAGAAGTTAAACACTGAAGCAGTCTGATTGCAGAATTCTCGGTTTTTACTTTTCTTCCCTCACCTCAGTTTTTTATAGTTATGTTTCTCACATTTCACCAGTGATGTTGTTTTTTTAAAAACTGATTTTCCTTTACTCTGAAATGTATAGTTTTTAGAGGAATAGCAATTCATAGTCCCTTGGTGTACATGTTTGATTAAATTATGTAAGTAAAATAACATGTATAAGTGGCATAAACAGATCTGTGATCAAGTATAGTTGATCCTTAACGGGTGAATGGTCCAGCTGATTGGAGCAGAAGTGAGCAAGTTTTCAGGGTGCTTTAAGCTTTCACAATATTCAAGAGCATTAGGAAGACCGGGAGCATGTTTGTTTTCTCTTTTTTTTCAGGATAAGTTATTTTGAAATGTCCTCATCATCTTGCCACATTTCTTCTTCCCTCAAACTCTTCCCAGTTTAGACTAGAATAGAGGTAAATCAGGCAAAAGTCTCGGATGTCTATATTTGTACAAGGAAAAAGTAAAACAAAAATAGTAGCAAATATAAGGGGCTTCTTAATTGTAAGGATGTTCTAAGTGTAAAAATAATGCCAGAGTGGAGCTTAGTTTCTCTCCTCTTGAGTGTGGCCTAGACTTCCTGACTCATTTCCAAACAACAGAGTGTGCAAAGGCAGAAATAGGAGCTTTTCTAGTGGAGGAGCCAAGCAGATGCCACCTTATCCCAGTGATGGAGGTTGACATCCCCAGGGATAAGTCATATTGATAGAGGGTCCCCTCTGGTATGGTGTGATAAGAAGAGTGCTTTACGTCAGGGGTAGACTTTCCCCAAACCCGTAGCCCCAGTCTGATCTCGAGAAAATATTAGACAAACTCAAATGAGGGGTATTCTGTAAAATACCCAACCGGTACTGGTGCTATTGGTGAAGAACCCGCCTGCCACTGCAGGTAGAGGTAAGATACACAGGTTCGATCTTTGGATTGGGAAGATCTCCTGGAGGAGGGCACGGCAACCCACTCTAGTGGAGAATCCTGGAGAATCCCATGGACAGAGGAGCCTGGCAGGCTACAGTCCATAGGGTTGCACAGAGTTGGACATGACCGAGGTGACTTGGCGTTACTCTTCAGAAATCTCAAGGTCCTGAAAATCACGGAAAGACTACCCCAGAGCAGAGGAGATGAGAGCAACGTGATGATTCAACACAATGTGTTGGAGACTTCCCTGGCAGTCCAGTGATTAAAACTTTGCCTTCCAATGCAGGGAGCACAGGTTTGATCCCTGGTTGGGGAACTAAGATCCCACATGCTGTGTGGCGCAGTAAAAAAAAAAAAAAATTTGTTTCAATAAATAGAAATAAGTGCAATGTGTTGTCATGAGTCAGATTCTGAAACAGAAAAAGGGGACATTAGTAGAAAAACTGGGGAAATCCAGATAAAAATAGTAGTTTTGGCAAATCTTCCCTAGTTAAATAAGCTGTTAACATTAGGGAAAGCTGGGTGAGGTATATATGAGAACTGTGTGTACTATCTTTGTAACTTTTTTGTAAATGTAAAATTATGCTAAAATAGAAAGTTTATTAAAAAATAGTAATGAGAGAAATCACAGAAGAAAGGATTGGGTGATTTGAAATTTAAGGCATGGTGATGAAATGAAAGTCAACAACCCGAAAACAATATTTGTCACAGATTTTAGACCAAGGACTTATATTCTTTTTTTTTTTTTCCATTTATTTTTATTAGTTGGAGGCTAATTACTTTACAATATTGTAGTGGTTTTTGCCTGCATTGACATGAATCAGCCATGGATTTACATGTATTCCCCATCCCGATCCCCCCTCCCGCCTGCCTCCCCATCCCATCCCTCTGGGTCTTCCCAGTGCACCAGCTCCGAGCACTTGTCTCATGCATCAAACCTGGGCTGGTGATCTGTTTCACCCTTGATAATATACATGTTTCAATACTGTTCTCTCAAAACATCCCACCCTCACCTTCTCCCACAGAGTCCAAAAGTCTGTTCTGTACATCTGTGTCTCTTTTTCTGTTTTGCATATAGGGTTATCATTACCATCTTTCTAAATTCCATATATATGTGTTAGTATACTGTAATGGTCTTTATCTTTCTGGCTTACTTCGCTCTGTATAATGGGCTCCAGTTTCATCCATCTCATTAGAACTGATTCAAATGAATTCTTTTTAATGGCTGAGTAATATTCCATGGTGTATATGTACCACAGCTTCCTCATCCATTCGTCTGCTGATGGGCATCTAGGTTGCTTCCATGTCCTGGCTATTATAAACAGTGCTGCGATGAACATTGGGGTGCACGTGTCTCTTTCAGATCTGGTTTCCTTGGTGTGTATGCCCAGAAGTGGGATTGCTGGGTCATATGGCAGTTCTATTTCCAGCTTTTTAAGAAATCTCCACACTGTTTTCCATAGTGGCTGTACTAATTTGCATTCCCACCAACAGTGTAAGAGGGTTCCCTTTTCTCCACACCCTCTCCAGCATTTATTGCTTGTAGACTTTTGGATAGCAGCCATCCTGACTGGCGTGTAATGGTACCTCATTGTGGTTTTGATTTGCATTTCTCTGATAATGAGTGATGTTGAGCATCTTTTCATGTGTTTGTTAGCCATCTGTATGTCTTCCTTGGAGAAATGTCTGTTTAGTTCTTTGGCCCATTTTTTGATTGGGTCATTTATTTTTCTGGAGTTGAGCTGGAGGAGTTGCTTGTATATTTTTGAGATTAATCCTTTGTCTGTTGCTTCGTTTGCTATTATTTTCTCCCAATCTGAGGGCTGTCTTTTCACCTTGCTTATAGTTTCCTTTGTTGTGCAAAAGCTTTTAAGTTTCATTAGGTCCCATTTGTTTATTTTTGCTTTTATTTCTAAAATTCTGGGATGTGGGTCATAGAGGATCCTGCTGTGATTTATGTCGGAGAGTGTTTTGCCTATGTTCTCCTCTAGGAGTTTTATAGTTTCTGGTCTTACATTTAGATCTTTAATCCATGTTGAGTTTATTTTTGTGTATGGTGTTAGAAAGTGTTCTAGTTTCATTCTTACAAGTGGTTGACCAGTTTTCCCAGCACCACTTGTTAAAGAGGTTATCTTTTTTCCATTGTATATCCTTGCCTCCTTTGTCGACGATAAGGTGAAGGACTTATATTCTTAATGCTGAATATACTTGTACAGATTAGTAGTAACATAGTAATACCTCACCAGAAAATAGCCATTGATCACAATTTATAGAAAAGACACAGTGGTGAATAAATATAAAAACCGGTTCAATCTCACCAGTAATTAAAGAATTGCCAATTATAGCAGTTTCAAAAATATTTTTATTTTCACCCATTACATAGAAAAATGATAATATTCAATTCTGGAAAAGGTAAGTGGAAGAATTATAGATTGGTATAGCCTTTCTGGAGAGCAGTTTGTCCATAGAGGAATTGGATTTAAAAGTATGTGTATCATTTGTGCTTATACACTCCCACATAAAAGATTTCTTTCCCAAGGAAATAGTCAGATGTGTATACAGATTTTCTAAAAAGACTGTTCATCATAAGGTTGTTAATAATGAAACACTCAAAACCCAAATATCTAAAAGTGAGGGAATGACCTAAAAAGTTTTGGCATACCTGTGGAATAGAATAGAGACATTAAATAGCCTGATATAGTTAAAAAAAAAAAAAAGCAGCAATGCAAGCAAGATATAGTTTGTGTATTTCCTTTGATCTCAGATGGTGTGCATGTGTGTGCAGCTGTCTCTCTTGAAGGGCTGGCAAGGAGATAAACAATCATGTAAAAAAGCAGTTACCTGTCCTTGGGTGTTAAGGAAAAGATGGATTTTATTTGCTTTATACCTCTGTATTTTCACAATTGTCTATATTGAGTATATATTACTGTTGTCATCAGGGGGGAAAATAACACTGCAAGCAATATGGTTAATGAGTTTCTTTCATCTTTTATGTTGATTTAATTTTGAGATCACAGTTCCATTTTGTTCTATAAAACATCATTTTTCCTCTTTCCACTAGGAAACTCCTGAGAGTGCTCCCCCTGCCAGGCGATAACTGGGGCGCTCTGGTTGACGAGTGGTGTTGTCATCCTGACCCCTTTGCTAATAAGCCACTTCATCCACGAGAGAATGACTGTTTCACCGGAGACTGTTTCTACCTGGTGAATTTAAAGAGTGATTTGTGGCAGCCAAGACCTAAAGAAGCCCCAGTGGAGACACACCATCTTTCTTCTGAGAACCATCTAAAATTGGTAAAATACCTTTTAAAATAAATGCTCATTTTGAGGTGGGTTTAGAAACTGGTTTCTCCAGTCTTTTCTTCAATCAAGGCATGTGAAACAGGCAGTCCTAAAGGCCAAAATCTTTTATTTTCAACTACTTCTATCATCAAGCCCTGCTCTTTTGATATAGAAAGGGCTTGTACAGGCTTTAAACCAAAATCGTCACAGGGGCTGGAGGAAGAAGGGAAAGAGGCTTCTTTGTGCATAGATTTGGGAATGTTAGTTTTTACAAACCAGAGTGCCCTATTTGCTTGCTTTGAGGACAGTATTCCATAATCCGTGTGCATTTTATCCTCAGAGTCTGGTTTAAATGGAAATTTTTCTTTGGCTGTAGGATATCTACTGTCCTGTGAGGTCCAGGTATTTCCCTGTGTCTTTCTGTAGTCTAGATTTCTGTGGGTGTCGTACAAGCGAATGCCATCAGGCAACAGAGGAAGTGGAGGATCCCAAGTGTGAAAAGAAAGCTCAGGCCACAGGCTCCATGTTGGTGCCTGACAAGCAAGATCAGGCGCTCCTGCTCTCAGAGCTGCTAGAGGGAGAAGGCTGTTTCCTCTCACTGCAGAGAGCAAGTGGTTTACCTTATTTTAAAAGAAAATCAATGGCATTGACTCGGCCCTTGTGAGAAATCATTCCCCGGATGGCAGGTCAATACAGATGTGATTTAAAATGTTAAGAAAATCATTGCCAGAGAACCTTCCTTTTAACATCTGATTATTGGTGGGAACCACGGCATTGTGTGTTAAATTTCATTTAAAGCTCCTATAATTTTTGTAATAAGAACTGGACCACTCTAGGATATATGCAGCAGTCCAGAAGATCTTAGTTTGTCAGGTAGTTTATAGACCTATTTCATAATTTGAGGGAGATTAAGGAAGTTTGACAAATGTCGAGGTTTTCAGTTTAAATTATGTAAGTGTCTCAACTTTCACCATAAACACAAATCCCTTTATCTTTAGGTTCCATTTAAAATACTTGACTCTCTCTCTCCTCTCTCACCCCAACTCTCTGTAAGTATCTTAAGCTTTCATAAAGTCATAACCATTCGTATTTCCTTTGATCTCCCTGCTTTTCAGTGTATGTATGTATATCTATTATACAATATATATTAGATGAAGTATATATATACTAATATATGCATATATTAGAATACATATATATATATTAGAATACCTCCATAATTATAGTGTTTAGCCATCTATAGTTTTCAAAGATAAATGGTAAGCACTTAATGTAAATCTGTTATATTTAATATGGTTGCAGTAAAATTATATTTTAATCTAAATATACTAATACTTTACTCTTTTATGTATTTTGACTTTCATTTTTATGATTAAGCTATACATTTTAAAAATATTTGAAAGATGTGAGTAGAAGAGGAATGGGGAAAGATTAAATAAGCAACACCATGAGTTTCCCTTTTTAGATGAACTCTGTATTCTATATGAAAACAAATTCCTCACATTTGTGTCTTCATCAGTCATGATGCCACTTAGAAGAATTTCTCTTAATTGTGAACAGCTATCCTGTGTGTTGTGCCATAGCCAGACATTATTATGTTTTTTAAGTATCAAGGAGACCATGGCAAATTACTGTCATGACAAGCTACTGCTGGCAAGATTGTTTTCAAGTTAGCCTCGATGGAAGTTTCACTTTAATTGCATATTGCAGCAGTTGAAAGAATATGCCTGAGACCAAAATAGTAACATAAATTTGGAGGGACCACTTACACAGTGCTCTCATGGCTCCTGTGGGAGCAAGGCTTCTCTGTGCTGTTGAAAACCTATTTCTCATATCACCCAGTCTAGCCATCTAGCAGGGTTTTGAAATGTCACATGGTGACACAGCATCCTAATGGTATCTCTTGGGAAACATTTTTTTGGTAAGACAATATCAAGGGTTCTTAGAATGGAAGCCACACAAAGGAGAAGAAAAACGAGGACAGAAGGCTAATCCACCTCTCGTAGCAGTATTGCCATCGTGCAGATATATTGATTTAATTAGTTAACAACAATGTCTGTCTTTGATGTTTGCTCTGTAGAGTTCCTACACTGCTAGGCTGCTTCTCTGCACAACTCGCTTGATTATTTCCATGAAGCATAGGTCAAGAAACATGCACTGCAAAGCAGAGTTTCTCTTTCACAAAACTGAAAGTGTTATGTTAATTTCAAAGATCAAGACTAGTTGAGCTTATCAGACATGAATGATGCATTCTGCATGTTTTCTGAGTATTTGATAGAAGTAATTTTTTTGTCTCTGCTTGTAGGAGATTATGAAAATGTATTTTATGAGGAGCCCACGTGGAACAGGAACTTTTATTTTTAAAAGAAATGCTACTGGGACTGGGAACAAGTGAACCTTTATTAAAAATAAATGTATTTTAACTGTGGAAAAAAATTTTAAGAGATAACTCACCTCAGCATGAGAAATGTATATTTTAATTCTGTTTAAGGAATCCTCGACAATGAATTACTCCAAAGCATATCTCTAGAATTATAATATTCATAAATGATCAAAAAAAGCAAACAAACATAAAGTTCAACTCTTATTCCTTTCCTTCAATAACCTCGTGTGTGTACAGCACGTTATTTGTGCCTCTGAGAATATGGCAGTATACTTTTTGTTTTCAAAAGACATCTATTGAAGGTTTCCCTATTCTTAGATTTATTATCTCTTATGATATTTTTTATGCCTTTCAATGAATTGAAAATTTTGCATCTGTTAAGCAGATTGATAAAGGTAGCATCTCAACTTTTGATAAGATTCATAATATTGTTCTAGACTTAGAAAGTAGCCACACATATGACTTCATCCTATATTTTAAAGAACAAATGAAATTGAACATTGCTATTTTAGCCAGTGAGTATGACTAACAGTTTTACCTTTGTTTTTTTTGGTTGTTTATTTTGTTAAATTCATGAGGAATTTTTTTTCTTCTTAAAATAATGTGCTGAACTTTGTAAACATTTGCAAATGTAAAAAAATAGAATTATGAACTTTGGTCAGTCATCTTGATTCATACAATATGCTTCATTTGCCCCTTTTATTTTTAGTTTTTTGCTCAAGTGCTTTAAAGCAAATTCTAAACATTATGTCAATTCGCTCCTATATATATTGTTCTTTTTTACATGACCACAGTGTCATTTTCACACCAGACAAAATAAACAATTATTACTCAGTGACACAATAGCAGGCCTTTAGCATCTGATGGACATACGGTCCCATCACTTCATGGCGAATAAAAGGGGTGGAAACAGTGACGGATTTTCATTTTCTTGGGCTCCAAGACAGTGACTGCAGCCATGAAATTAAAAAATGCTTGCTCCTTGAAAGGAAAGCCTTGACAATCCTATACAGTGTATTAAAAAGCAGAGACATCACTTTGCTGACAAAGGTCCATATAGTCAAAGCTTGGTTTTTCTAGTAGTCACGTGTGGATGTGAGAGTTAGATCACACTAACTGAGCACCAAAAGAATTGATGTTTTTGAATTGTGGTGCTGGAGAAGATTCTTGAGAGTCCCTTGGACAGCACAAAGATCAAACAAGTCAATCCTAAAGGGAATCAACCCTGAATATTTATTGGAAGGACTGTTGCTAAAGCTGAAGGTCCAATATTTTGGCCACCTGATGCGAAGAGCCAGCTGATTGGAAAAGGCCCTGATGCTGGGAAAGATTGAAGGCAAAAGGAGAAGGGGGCAGCAGAGGATGAGATGGTTAGATAGCATAATCGACTCAATGAACATGAGTTTGGACAAACTCAGGGAGATAGTGAAAGACAGGGAAGTCTGGCATGGTGCAGTCCTCGGGGTTGCAGAGTCGGACATGACTTAGCAGCTGAACAACAACCAGAATTCCCTGGTGGTCCAGTGGTTAAGAATCCACCTGGCAATGCAGGGGACATGGGTTCAATCCCTAGTCCAGGAAGATTTCAGATGCTGTGAGGCGACTGAGCCTGTGCTCTACCTGAGAAGCCTCACAATGAGAAGCCCACACACCACAGGGAGCGAAAGCCCATGCATAGCAGCGAAGACTCAGCACAGCCAAAATAAATAAATAAAAATTTAAAACAAACTATAGAAAAAAACAGTACCTCATACAATCAAATAGGTGAATTTTGATTCAAAACAACTGACCACAGATGATACTTCTAATAGAATTGCTAAAATCTATACAATGGTGGACAAAGGAGCCTGGCGTGCTGCAGTCCACGGGGTTGCAAAGAATCGGACATGGCTCAGCAACTGAACAACAGCACCTTTTGACCACCTTCACCCATTTTTGCCCATCCCCACAACCTCTAATAACCACAGATCTGTTCTCAATGTTTAAAAGTTTAGTCTTCTGTTTTCTTAATAATTAGAATTATTCTAATAGTTCTAGAATTATTTTAGAACAACTGCTAGCTGTTTTAATCTGTGTCCCTATTGATAAAGTTGGATTTTTTTAACAATGTTTCAGGAATTTGTTCTAGAACACTGTCTCTGTCTTTTCAGTTATAGTGCATATGTTAAATGGAAAAATAGAATTATATGAGTAAGTTAAGTATTTTTAATTTCTGATGGTGGTTATGAATTATAGTTTACTTTTACGTAAGTTGTCCTGGACTGGGAGTCAGAATAATATGAGTTCAAGTTCTGATTCTTCTGTTTTCTAAACATATGTGTTGGGGCAAGTCACCTACCTTTCTACCTTTGTTGCCTGCCTATCCTATTCTAAATCCCCTGGAGGAGGGCATGGCAACTCACTCCAGTTTTCTTGCCTGGAGACTCCCTTGGACAGGGGAGCCTGGCAGGCAATAGTTCACAGAGTCGCAAAGAGTCGGATACAACTGAACTGACTTAGCATGCACCCACACACATTCTAAATGATAAGAATGTTTGGAAGTGCTTTTTAGAATTTTTAAGATGCTTCTTGTTCAAATTACTTGGCAGCATGTAGATTATAAGGAAGTGACTTGGTTTGGAATAATCATTCTGTTCATTATTTTGTCTTTAGACTAAAAAAAAAAAAAGATCTCTGTGCATGTGGTTTATGCATACAAGCTAAGTGTATTCCCAGTATTTAGTAGATGGCAAAATAAAATGTAAAGTTCAAGGTATACTCTAGAGGCCATGTTAAAATTATATATTCCTTTTAAGAAAAGCTGAATGACATTTAAATGACATTTTTCTATTCTACAGAAACCAAAGGCAAATACCAAAGTAATTTGTAAGCGTTGCAAGGTAATGTTGGGAGAGACTGTGTCATCAGGTAAGAATTTCATAATAAAAAAAGCTGAAATGACTGCCTTCTTGTTACGTTCAAAAAACAAACAGGAGATTTTATAGGACATGTATATGAAAGAGAGATGGCTAATACATGTTATAGAATTGAGAATTGATGCTTTTAAAAATAGAAATCAACTAATATATCATCCAATATGCCAAGAAGTTTGTGTCTTTTGACCTTTATAAGTACATAGTATTGAGTCTTAAGCATTAAGAATTTGGGTTGTTTTCAGTATTGTATATCTTCTTTGTGGCTACAAAGTAGTATAATGTTTGTTTCTTAAAGAATATGGAAGCTTTTTTTTTTTTTAATACAACTCCTCTGTCAGAGGAATTGGTTACCAGGGATGATGGAAGAGATGCTTTTCTTGGTAGTTGTCTGCCTTAGGGCTGTGTTTTAAGGCTTGGGCATGGGGGGTGGGGGGAGCGGTACACAGAAGTTGTTGAAATGGAAGAAAACACATTCTGAGTTTTATGCTCTGTTCCTTGTTCTTTTTCCCAGTAGTGTTAATTATATTTTGTGTAAAATCTGTGTTATGCCACTATAAAGTTTAATAATGAAAATCCTGATAATTAAAATTCATCACTCTTTATAGATGTGGCTTAAAAATGTCTAGAGAGCTCCAGCACATGTTAGCTTCATGGGTGAAGAATAATTGTTTTTAATATAATTAATTAGAAGATGTGATTTAAGTGAAACTGCCATCCTCAAGGGAAGGCAGATGGTGGCATTTTTTGTTTGTTTTTTAAGATCATCAGAATCTCATAAGTAGTTACTTGCTCAGAGTGAACAGACAAGGGAGCATGAGTAGCAGTGTAGCGTGCCACCCGCAATGTCATTTTTGGAGAATGAAAGCAAGTCCTTCGCAACAGTTCAGAAAATCTTAAGGCTTCCAGCTAAATAAGGTGAATTGGCTTTTTTCATGCATTTCTCTCCTCCCTGAAGTCCAGTTAAAAAGTCAGTTAAGGAATTTAAAAAAAAAGGACATCCACGGAGACGGAAGAGAAGTGGAAAGGAGACCACAGTGATGTGAACTGGGGGTGTAAGCAGACTTCTTTGGAAGCTGCAAAGCTGAGAGAGGGGTGGGAACACTTGGCTGTGTGGAGGAGGCTGCAGCCGTGGTGTCTGCAGATCGATCGTCTTATAACGAGGGAGCCAGAACTCAGCTGTGGAATCCCAGAAACGGACAGAAGTGAAAGCTAGCGGTTGAGACGTAACGGTTATCAAGGACAAGGGGCTGAAAGCAGTAAGTTTCCTGAGACTCTTTCTCTCCTTGCAACTTGCTTGTAGACTCAAGGTAGGAGATTGGAGCAGCCTTTCTTGGAATAATGGAAGTGGACTAACAAGAAAAGATCTGCAGACACTGATTCTTAGGGGTTATTCAGCAACAACAACAAAAAATGAGCTTATATTCAGATATTCTACTGTCAACAAGCCTTATATCTATACCCAAGAGGTTTCTCTTAGCATTTTATTACTTTACATTTAAATATGAACAGATTGCTGAGAATCAATAAATGTTAAAGAGGGCTCAAAGCAAATAAATAATCAAGTGTACAGAGCAGGGGCATTGAAAAGAAACAAATTGTGTGTTAAAACAGAAAAAAAAATCTCTTAAAAAACCATAATAAATGTCCTTGGAGAAATGAAATAATACTGCCTCTACAATTCAGAGAGTGTCATATTAAAGATGTAATAGCTTTAAAAAAAAACTAACCAAAAGAAGATAAAATTAAGGAAATATTTCAGAAATCAGGATCAAAAGACAGAGATTAAAAATTGGAAAGGAAATTAAAAAAGAAAAAAGATCATGTAAGTTTCCTAAGGATAGGAATATTTTCTATCTCATTTATCACAATGAGCTTAGCACTTAGAATGATATTTGACATCTAGTGGGTATCCAGTAAATATTTGTTGAATGAGTGAATGAAATGATCCTTTTAGGACATCCAGCATCTAGCTGAAAATTCTGGAAAGAGAATGGAGACAACAGGGTGTGGGAAATCCATCAAAGAACAAAAATACTAAAACCACACTAAATAGATACTTCCTAGAACAAGGACTTATGGGCCCCGGCTGCAAACTGAAAGGGTCCCCTAAACTGTCTTAAACAATTAATGAAGGATGATGAGGAAGCTGCTTAAAGCCACATCACAGAGTAATCTCCGAACGCCAAGGACGAAGCTTCTAGAGAGCAAAAAGCAGGTAATGTACAAAGGATTAGGAATTAGAATGGCACTGAACTTCTTAACAGCAGCATTGAAAGCTAGAAAATGATGAAAAATGCCCTCATAATTTAGAAGGAAAAAAGATTAGAATTTAGAAGGAAAAAGATTTTCAACCCAGAATTCAACAGATAGTCAAGTGTGAAGATTATAAGTACATTTTTGGAGCTACAGGGTCTCAAAACATGGACCTCAAAGTTATATTTTCCTTAGGGAATCTACCATAGGGTTATGCATCAGCAAAAGTAGGAATTGAACCTCAAAAGAAAAAATGTGGGATTTGAGGAACAGATCATTCAACACAGGAGAATGAGATAAGGAATCCCATTGGGGAGGGATCTACAGCAGGCCTAGAGAATAACAGTCTGGATTGAAGCAAGTGGAGAGAAGATTGTAATAGAAAGATTTTTTCAGTTATACACTGAAACTGATAGTCATTGGATTGTTTGACCACATGTAACAAATAATCTTGAGAGAAGCCATTTTGTCATATGGGCAAAATTAGCTAAACGTGTTTAGAAAACTAAACACATGAAAAAGAAAGCAGTTATGCACTGTGGGAAACAGAAGGTTGAACAAAAAAGGAGCTATTCCATGGTATGATTATGGTCACAATATGTGAACACTGAATATCCATTTAACCAAAAATCTTTATGATGTGATACCTAAGTATATTAGGAGGTCATTGTATGTGAGTGTGTGTTGGGGGGGGGGGCGGGTAATTTAAGAGAGCTTTACCCACATCTACTCTAACAGTAAATTAGTGGATCCCCAGTGGGGCTTCCTAGGTGGTACAGTGGTAAAGAACCTGCCTGCCAGTGCAGTAGACGCAAGAGACTCGAGTTTGATCCATGGGTCAGGAAGATCCCCGGGTCAGGAAGATCCCCTGGAGTGAGAAATAGCAACCTGCTCCAGTGTTCTTGCCTGGAAAATTCCACTGACAGAGGAGCCTGGCAGACTACAGTCCATGGGGTCCCAAAGAGTTGGACGTGACTGCGTGGCTGAGCACACACACAATTTCAAAAGTGGTGGCATAAAGAGAATGGCTAGTTCTCCTCTGAAGGAATCAAGTACAGAACCGTACAAGTTCAGAAGAACAGCTGCTAGAAAATAACTGAAATGAAGCAATGATTTGAGAGATATTCAGTTATCAAAAACTGCTACTGCTTTGGGCTAAAATGGCAAATTTGTGCATTTTTTTGCTTGAGGTCAATGCTGTATTCCCCCCAACCCCTGAACTTGGGTAGGAAAAAAAAACAGCTGGTGGTTAAAGATTTGGTTCAGGGTAGGCAAAGGAGAAAGGAGAAATTTAAGAGGGGATATTTTGAAAGCAAGAGTGTCCTGGAATGGCAGAGCTAATAATTTCTTAGCACAGCTCTGACTAGTTGCTAAACTCTACATACATACAGTAGATGCCAGGGGGTCCGTTAGGAGCTGAAAGCTTGGAGAGACCTGAAAATTTGTTCTGCCTTTGGTTCATTCTTCAGTCCATATACAATTTGGGTAGCAGAGGGTGGAAGCCTTAGTGGTTTGAAGTATTTGAGAAGAACCTTGCACCAGATTTGCTGATAGCCAAACCATGCAGAGATAGCAGATACTCTCCAGGGAGTCAGGCTAAGCAAAAGACGACTGGGCATAGACACGGTGACTCCATACTGTGGGAAGGCATATTTCCTGGTTTTTTAGTCCAAGCTTATTAATTGGCCTATAAACTAACAACCCTTCAAAGGATAAAAGAAAATCCAGAATTACTACAGTGTATTACACACAATATCCTACTTCCTTCTAGAAATTATTAGCCAGGCAAAGAAAGAGACAGGACTGGTTCATACTCAAGGAGAAAGCAGGACTCCACGGATGCTGAAGAAGCACAAATATTAAATTAGCAGACAAATGTGTTGAAGTAACTAATTATAAATATGGTAAAGAATTAAAAAGACAAATTAATAGCAAATCTCAGCAAATCAGCAACTTCAGAGAAACACCCAGTTGGTAATTACAGAGCTGAAAAGTACAGTAACTAAAGAAAAATTCACTGGATTAACTAAAACCTCATATTTGAGATGATAAAAGCAAACAAAAATTGTTGAAGATAGTGAAAGTGTTAGTTGCTCAGTTGTGTCCGACTCTTTGCAAACCCGTGAACTGTAGCCCGTCAGGCTCCTCTGTCCATGGAATTCTCCAGGTAAGAATATTGGAGTGGGTTGCCATTCCCTTCTCCAGTGGATCTTCCTGACAGGGATTGAACCCAGGTCTCCTGCACTGCAGGCAGACTCTTTACTATCTGAGCTACCAGTTGAAGATAGGTGAATAGAAATTAAGTAATCCAAAGAACAGACAGGAATAAAGTCTCGAAATGAAGAGAATATCAGATTTGTGGAATGATATTAAGTGTTTTGATAAATGTGTAAGTGGAGCTTTAGAAGGTGGGGAGAAAAAACATCAGGGAAAAAAATGGGTGAAATGTTGTCAAATTTGGTGAAATATTTTAACTTTTGGATCCAACAACTGCAGTGAATCTCAAGTAGGATAAACACAAAGAGCATTTCACCCAGGCGTATTGTAGTCAAGCTGATAAAAGCAAGAGATGAAGAGAGAATCTTGAAAGGAACAAGAGAAAACAAAACATCACATTGTAGGGATTTCATTAAGAATTAAGGCCAACTTTTTCTAGAAGTAATGACAGCCAAAAAGACACTAAAAGACAGCCAAAAGACCCTTTGAGATATTCAAAATGCTGGGGGAGAAAACAGTAACATCTTTCAATTAATAATTCTATATCCAGTAAAACACTCCCTCAAAAATGAAGGCAAAACAAGAACATTTTTTATAAATAGGTGGAAATAATGCATTACTAGCAGACAATGCTAAGGAAAGTTCTTCAGGCTAAAGTGAAAGATAATCGGATGCTAATTGGAATCCACAGGAAGGAATGAAGAGTAAGATAAATGGAAAATATGTAGGTTAATTACCACAAAAGCATACTCAACAGAGGTTAGCATAAAATTAAAAACCACCTTTTCCTTGCATTTGCCAGTGCTCTAAAATTAGAACTTTTCATATCAAAGACTCCACAAAGTGAGAATCCAATAGGTGACTGCACAGAAATATGAGACCCTGAATAACTATACGGCACAGTGAAGGCAAATCACAAGTGAATACAAGCCCGTGAAATTACAGACAACATCAGTCCTTTGAGACTTCAGGAATTTCAGATCTTGAACATGGTTAGTCTGCTTTGAACTAGACATAATGCCATGGGCCTGGGAAAATCAATTGCAAGTCATCTCTGGAGGAAAATGCCTTCATTGTGAAACTTATATTATTCCCACAAAGAATTTGTCAAGTACAGTGTTTACCATACAACCAAACATAAATAGGCACGTAAGTAAACTAGACTTCTACCAGTGAGAATTAACACAAACAGCAAACAATAGAAACAGACACCTGTTACTGGAATCATCAGATATAAACTGTAAAATGACCATGCTTACTGTATTTAACAACATAAAAGACAGGTTTGAAATAATTGAAGGGTAAAGGCAACTAAAACAGTAAGCATATTTGGAGAAGATCTGCAACAGAATTTCTTAAAAATATAATTGAAATTTAAAACTCAGTGGATAGCTTAACAGCAGATTAGGCATGGCACAGAGGAAGAATTAGTGAACAGAAGATAGATGAGAAGAAAAATCTGTAATTCAGCACAGAGAGACAAGAAGGTAAAAAATAAAGAAAAGGTAAGAGACATAAAACACAGAGGAGATCTAATGCATGTTTGAGCGTGCTTCTAGAAGGAAGAGATAGAATAGGGCATAGTATTTGCAGAGAGAATTGCTGAGGATTTTGCAAAAGTGACGAAGAACTACAATTTGTAGTCTGAAGTCCAGTGAATTCTAAGTGTATAAAGCCCAAGTAAGAGAAATACATGAAAGTGTATATAGTTAGATACATCACAGTGTTACTGAGGGAAAATTTTAAAAAGAGAAAATGAAAATTTTTAAAGTAACCAAGGAAAAAGACATTACCTTCAAAGGGATGGCAGCAATAGAGATCTGAAGATAGTGTGCACAAAGGTTGAAAACTGTTAACCTAGGATTTTATATCAGAAGAAAATGTCCTAATGCGAAAGAATCAAGACAAAGATAAATATATTCTCTGTCAAGCAAAAACTAGGATAATTCAATTCTAGTGATTTGGTTTCTTATGAAAAGAAATTTTGCCGGTATATTAAGTAAAAGAAATGATTCCAGAAAGAGGGTCTAAGTTCATGAAGAATCAGTAAAGAAAGTGGCCAATATGTTGGTGACACTAAGTGAATGTTAATTGTGTAAATTAGTACTACCTTGTGGGATTAAGACTGTGGAATTAAACTACAGTTTCAACAACAACTGGGACAAAAGGATCACTTTAGAATGTTAAAAAGTTCCAATTCTGCATCTAATAACATGATTTTAAATAGTAAAGTGAAAAATTGAACTTCAAGGGGAAATATATAAAGTCATCATAATGATTCAAAAAAATACTTTTTTTTTTGCATTTTTCTGTGTGTTAGCAGAAATGTGTTAGCATTTTTCTGTGTTGAGCAGTTGTAAACGTTTACAGAAAATCTACAAGGAACAATTTTTCACCTTATTAAAACAATTAAAAATTTGTTGGCACACCACTTTTAATGACTATAAAATTCTCTTGCTGAAATATATAGATGTTTATTTAACTCAACCATCCTCAATTTTAAAAAATTTAATTTTTCAGTATTTTCTATTAATAGTATTGTAAGCACCTTAGATAAATGTTTACAGATATCTATGAGCATTTCTTTGAGATAAATGTTTAGGCATTTAATTATGGTATCAAAATGTATGTATATTTTTTTTTTTCACTTTGATTTTCTCAACCAATTCTCAACCAAAATGTATATGTATTTCTAATGCCTTCACCAAGTGGCTTTCCAAAAATCTGTTATTTGCAGTCCTGACAGCAGAAGGAGAATAAGTGTAACTGTTTCTCCATATCTTCATTGCTGCTACAGTTTATCTTTCAAAAATATTTTTTTATTTGATACTAAAAATATTTCATTTTAATTTCCATTTCATTACTAGTGAGTGAACATTTTTCATGGATTTTTTTTTTAAATCAAAAATGATTATGTTCATTTCTGTTAAACATTAGTTTAAATTTTTCTGTAAATGAAGTAATCAGATAACCAGATTTTGTAAAAATTGGATATTAATACACTCATTGAGATTCTGGGTAAATATTAATGTGAGGTTCACAGCTTTTGTGCTTGGGCTTTAGAATACTATGATTTTTAAAGAGGCTTTTTCAGTGACTCCTAGGATTGTGGCTACTTTATAGAAATGAGGAAACCAAAAGACTGAGTTTGCGATGAGTGGGCGATGGTTGTGATGTGCCTAGTTTTTATAACCATGCATATTTGTGAACAAAGTCTTGCTGCAGCAGACTCATCTAGGGCATGCTCTTCTGAAACAGCGCTGAGCTATCTGAAGTGTCAGGGCTGTCACTGTATAGTTTCATCAATCTTTGTCTTCCGAAGCTAAGTCGCTTTTAGAAAAGTTTTACTGACTGTTCATTGTACCAGTGTATCAGATATTTAGTTTGAAATGTCATAATTTGAGACCAACATGCCCACAATAGAAATACTAATTGTGGAGCTTTTTAATATTCTTATTTTTTGTTTCTAGAAACCACTAAGTTTTATATGACGGAGATAATTATTCTGCCATCTGAAAGAAATTTTCCCATCATACCAAGGTACAAATAGCAAATTGTTTCTTCTGTAATTTCACATGTAAAGAAAGATGGGAACAATTCATTATTTAGGCATTCATTTTTATTTATATGCCTGTTTTCTTGGAAAGGAAAAATGAAAGCCTTTGGAAGGGCTTTTAGGTAGTAGAATGAAACCACAGATATGAAAGACTTGAAGATTTATTTATGGTTTGCTTACATAATGATATACACAAATGTGCTCTTATAAATCTAGTTCTGAAATTTTTTTGTGCTTCTTTCTATGTGCTGGATATCCAAGGTTTTATTTATAGGTTATTCTTAGGTTATATAGGTCTTATTCATAGGTTTTTGAGTAATTATTTCTGGTTTTAATTGAACTTATTTGCAATGTGAGTTTTCAAATGACTCCTGTGTTTTTAAAAAGAATATTGCTTATCCACTAAATTCATTAGTATTTTTTTTCTTTGAATCTTTTTTAGTGTTGCAAATGAAAGTTTACTGTAGTGTATCTTTCAGTTCACTTATTGATGTCTAAAAATTATGGCCCTCTGACTATAACTGCATCTTTGAACTGCATCCTCTTATAATACTTTGATTATGCATCTCAGATCTGACAGTCTGAGGGGAAGCAAATAGAAAACATTGGAGATAATACTAATGTTTGGAAGGAAATTTCTCATCTTTTATAACTTAGTTATTCACTGCTTAATTTACTACAGTTCAAATGGAATATTGACTAATCTAACAGTATATTTTTTTAGTTTCATGGAGGAAATACTTAGGTTGGGCTTCCCTGGTGACTCAGATGGTGAAGAATCTGCCTGCGATGTAGGAGACATGGGTTCTGTCCCTGGGTCAGGAAGATCCCCTGGAGAAGGGAATGACTACCCACTCCAGTATTCTTGCCTGGAGAATCCCATGGACAGAGTAACCTGGCAGGCTACAGTCCATGGGGTCACAAAGAGTCAGACATGACTGAGCAAGTAATACTTTTTACTTTTCATGTAAATAGGTTTGGGTGGAAAATGTATTAGTGATTGAAGAATAGGTTATAGAAAGACTGGCTCAAGAACTTCTCTGGTGGTTCAGCGGTTAGGACTCCATGCTTCTACTGCAGGGAACATGGAAACTAAGATCTCACAAAGACTGGCACAAATATCAAATACATTAAAAATAGATTAAAATTAGCACAGGTTGTGAGGGAATGGGCAGCATACAGAAAAGTCTGGCATGTAGCCATCTCTGCTTCTTAGGTACCCTGTGGGTATATGGGGCTCTTATTAAAATTAGCACAGGTTGTGAGGGAATGGGCAGCATACAGAAAAGTCTAGCATGCAGCCATCTCTGCTTCTTAGGTACCCTGTGGGTATATGGGTCTCTTATTGTCAGTTATTATGAGAGGCTCATTGTGGAAATTGGTTTCTGTTCAAACAGGTCTCAGTTTGTACAGAGCATTATCGCCCAGTGTATGGTGGAACTGTCCTCTGCTAGAAGCACTTTTAGATTCACTATTCAAGGTCATGATGGCAAAGTATACATTCTGGTAAGAAGTGATTTTTGCCCAGTTTTTTGTAGCCTAGTAGTTCAGGGACTCAGAAATTCTTTGGGTTTTGTTATTCTTTTTTCTTAATTCTCAGGTCTGGAAAACAAGGGATCAAAAATTAAAATTTTAATTGTCAGCTAAATTCACAAATCAAGCACCTTTAATTGAATGACGAATGATTTACCTGCCTCCATGGAGAAATCCCATGGACAGAGAGCCTGGTGGGCTGTTGTCATGAGGTCGCAAAAAGAGTTGGATATGACTTAGCAACTAAACAACAACAGTAATGTGCTAGGTACTTGTAATTCAGAGAAATAAAACCTAATTCCTGTTCCGTAGAAGCTCATGCCACAAAATAAACTTTTTCTGCTTTCAGTTTTTAATGGCCTTCTTTGTCAGTGTAACATAATTCTCTTTTTCACTTTTTACCTCTTTATTTGATACTCTTATGTTTAAAATATGTTCTATTGATCCTGCTTTTGTTTTATCATTTTGTGTGTGTGTGTCTGTGTGTGTGGGGGGGGGGGGTAAGAACACCTAACATAATCTACCCTCTTTACAGATTTTTATATTATAAAAATATAATTTTATGTTATATTCCAGCATTGTTAATTATAGGCACAATGATGTACGGCAAGTCTCTGGAACTTACTCATCTTCCCAACTGAAACCTTATACCCTTTGATTAGCCACTCCCAGTTTCTCCCTCCCTCCAGCACCTGGCAACCAGCATTCTCTCTCTACCTCTATGAGTTAGACTATCTTAAATTCTTCATGTAAATGGAATCATGCAGTATTATCCTGCTGTGTCTTATTTATCATAAAGTCCTCAAGGTTCATCTGTATTGTCACATACTACAAGACTTCCTTCTTTTTAAAGGCTAATATTCCCTTGGGTATGTATACCACATTTTCTTAATCCATACATCGTTGGTGGGCATTTACGTTGCTTCTGCATCTTGGCTATTGTAAACAGTGCTGCGGTGAATATGGAAGTGCAGAGATCTCGTCAAGATCCTGATTTCAACACTTTGATGTTTGAGAAGTAGTGGCAAGTTTTGGAGAAGAGGCTCCACAGATAGCAGAATCATCCCCTACATAAACCACAGGTGTCTAATAGTAAACTGCAGAAAAGAGTTGAGGACATTATGTAAAAATCCAAGACTGAGGGCCCAAGTCTCTTGTCTGCCTCCACATCAGTTTTATTCAACCAGTAAACGTATGTTGAGCACTTCTTATTTGAAAGACATTTCCTAGGTGCTCAAGATAGAACAAAAATGCCTTCAAGGACCTCACACGCTAATACGGGACCATGGTAGCCAACAGGAGGGAGGGAATTGAAATTGTTCCTTGATACTGCTTTGTGACTGACGATCCATCACAGGGACTCCATGCTTCTCCAATTCCAGATAATTTTTACTCAAAGTTAAAATATTTCCTAACTAAGGGTGACACTAAGTATACCTCTTAGTCATAGTCTGAAATCAGCTTTAATTTTCTTTTTTTTTTTCCCCGCCATTTTTTTCCTTTGGCCCCACCTCGAGTCTTGCAGTATCTTAGTCCCCCAACCAGGGATCGTGCCCCTGCAGTGGAAGCACAGAGTCCTAAGCACTGGACTGCCAGGGAATTTCCTCAGTTTTCTTTTCATGTTTTCAAGTTGAAAATCAGGAGTAGGAATTTTTTTTAAACTTACTACTAGTGTATATTTAAGTTAAAATTTTTTTCATTCTAATAAAAGTAATATTCTTGAAATACATTCTGACAACATGAAGAACATAAAAGAAGTGCTTCTTCCTTCCATTTTGTCCCCTCTTCCGCCCTGCTGTGTCATGCCATCCAGAGGTAATCATTAACAGTCCATTTTCCCCCTATTTATAATTATATGTAATACACCCACAGGTATTTGTAAAAATAACACAATGATGTGATTAGCTTCATTCTTCAACGTGTGTACTTCACTCAACCATGTATCATGAGTCCTGTTTCTTGTTAGTGTAAATATGGACTCTTATTAATGATTAGAATTCTACTGTATGGCTGGTAAAGACAGTGCTTCAGGGAAAATCATCCTTGCATGTGTATTTTAGTCCTTTAGAAACAGATTTTTCTCATCACTCTTGGAACTGGTGTATTTTAAACTCTGGTAATTATTGTCTCCAAAATGTTGGACTAATTTATCTTTTCTAAACCTCATTTACCTTCTATAGACATTCTTGGTACCCCACCCAAGTCCCCTCTCTTTGGTTGGTCCCACATTTCCCTGTGATGAGAATGTTGCCTGCTCACGGCTCACAGCTGCCTTCATTCAGAGACTTGTCCTGTCTGGACAGATGCAACCTGGCTTGGGGAGTTTCTTGTCCTCCCTCACCCCTACCCCTGTCCTGCTCAGCCTACTGCCTGTGACTTGACTCTGGGCTACAAAACCTGCTGTCTCCTGTCTCAAAATGGAACTGATTCTATAGGTGGGATTCAGGTTCCAGAGCTCCCTGTGAGATTAGGTTGAGTCCACATCACCGGCCAACTCCTTCCCCTGCCTTCTCCTCTTTCCCTCCCACCCTTTCTCCTGAGAGTAAATCCTCAACTAATCAACTGAATCCAAATCCAGAAGCACTCTCCCAAAAGCAGTGTGTGGGAAGACTTTCTCCAAACCCTTCTTCTGAGCTCTGTGGTATCCGTCTTTTTGTATTTGCCCATCTGATAAGTGAAAAGGAGTAGCACAAAAATTTTGTATTTCCTTATTACTAGTTAGAGTGACATTTTAATATATTTATCACTTATTTCTTCTGTTTGATTCTTTTCTTATTCCTCATCTGTATCTCTCTCGGTCTGTTTTTCCCACTTACTGATTGCTAGGAGCTCTGTAAATTATGGATAATAACTTGGTGTTACATATTTTCTCCTAATCAATTGTCTTTAGAAACTGTGTTATCAGCAGTTCTACAAACATTGTACTTTGAAAGACTTATCCTACTTCAAATTTGCGTACATGATTTTTCAGTATTTTTTTCTGGTGTTTTATAGTTTTATCTTCTTTTAAAATAGTTTTTGTTTTTTTCTTTTTTGAGTGGTGGTATGAGATATGGATAGGATTTCCCTGGTGGCTCAGACAGTAAAGTGTCTGCCTACGATGCGGGAGACCCTGGTTCTATCTCTGGGTCAGGATGATCCCCTGGAGAAGAAAATGGCAACCCACTCCAGTACTCTTGCCTGGAAAATCCCATGGACAAAGGAGCCTGGTAGGCTACAGTTCATGGGGTCGCAAAGAGTCAGACACGACTAAACAACTTTGCTTACTTACTTATGAGATATGGATGGGATAGTGATAATTTTTTTTTTAAATACTCTTATGCTTAGACTTTTCTCTTCATTTCTTTAGCTATGGCTTTTAAACTCAGACAGTTTGGTGATTGAATCTTTGGGACAGTCCACAAGTATCAAAAAATTCCCTGTGTTGGAAGATGTATTGAAGGCCGATTCCAATTCCGCCTGGAATGCAGTCAAGGTCCTCTACCAGCCATGCATCAAAAGCCGGAATGCAGAGTAAGTCATGGTTTTGTATGCTCCCTCCACATTGAGTTTTCCTTTCTGTTGCCATGTTAGTATTAGGAAATTAAGGAATTCAATGGGACTGCGCCACTTCCCTACTGGATGCTGCTAGCAATCATACTGCTACATATTGTGCTTTCAAAATAGATTGAATCATTATAGATTATTTATGCTAATGTGCAGAAAACTTGCTTTTACTGAAAATAATTGGCCCTTTTTTTTTTTGTAATCTCAGCTGTCTGTGCATATGGCCGCAGTACTAAATCAGGCTTCGACAGCTATGAATATTTACTGATAAACGCTTTCCAGGCATTTGGGATACAGTCGTGAACAAAACGCAGTGCCTGTTCCCTAGGGTTGTCATTCTCACGGGGGGAAGGCAGACCGTAAACAAAGCAGACAAAACATCAAAGACTGATACAGCTCTTACTGTGCGTCGGGTGCTCATCCGAGGGCTCCTAGCTCATTCTAAGCCTAATGATAATCCTGTGGGGATCAGTTCAGTCCAGTCGCTCAGTCATATCCGCCTCTCTGCGACCCAGTGGACTGCAGCACGCCAGGCTTCCCTGTCCATCACCAACTCCTGGAGCTTGCTCAAACTTATGTCCATCGAGTCGGTGATGCCATCCAACCATCTCATCCTCTGTCGTCCCCTTCTCCTCCCACCTTCAATTTTTCCCAGCATCAGGGTCTTTTCCAGTGAGTACATGTATCAGCCTGTGTTACAGACAAAGATACTGAGACAAAGGCATTAAATTACTCTAGTGAACTATAACGCAAGTTAAGATAGTTGGGGAGAGGAGGTGTGGGTGTAGGAGGTTGGCATTTTATACTGAAAAGTCTTCCTCAGATAAAGTGACATTTAAGTGGAAAACGTGAAGGCAGTGAGGGGAGTGAACCATCTCCGAGGAAGAGCATTCCTGGCAGAGGGAACAGAAAATGTTCTTATTTGAACAGATTGGAAGCTTATACTTGTCCTGTCCTCGCTGATGGGTTTGATCAAATTAGTACCAAGAACAGAAAGATCCTAGTCTTCTGGGAAGTAAGCAAGAAATTCTTAAAAATTATTGCTTGTCTTGTCTTTTCTTTTCTTTGAATTATACAAGCAGTACAAGTCATAAAATATTCAAACAGTAGAGACTTACATAAAGTAAAATATGAAAGTTCTCCATCATGTCCCTCTTTAGAAGAAAAAAGTATGTTCTGTATTTTTCCACTTTGTTTTTTCTTTTTTGCATCTTAATGTAATTTGAATGATACATGTGTATTTTTTCACACTTACAACAACAACAGCACTGTGTCTTGGAGATTCTTTCCATGTCAGTGCTTGGCACTTTATGAAATGAATGTACTATAATTTAACCATATTTCTGTTGATAATATTACCTTTTTGCTGCTTTAAGTAGGATTGCATTGTTTGTGTTATACATTTGTTTTGTGATTATGTATAGTTTATATGAGGTATTTCTAAAAGTAGAATTACCAACTCAAAGAGTATGACTTTTAAAATTTTGATGGTAATATCAAATTATTTTGCAAAAAGGCACTGCAAGCTTATCCTCCCACATAAAGTTTCTATAAATATCCTTTTCTCTATACCCACACCCAAGCTGCCACATAGATTTTTGCCCATCTGATGCCAGTCTAAATGAAACAGACAGTTGACTATCCTTGTGTTTTATTGAGGCATGATCAGAGAATATGACTTATGTATTTGATGCCTTGGGGACTCTTTTGAGGAATGTGTGTGTGTGTAGTTTTGTTGTTATTTAGTACTTCAGTTGTGTCCGACTCTTTTGCGACCCTGTGGACTGTAGCGGGCTCCTCTGTCCATAAGATTTCCCGGGTGGGAATGGGTTGCCATTTCCTTTTCCAGATCTTCCTGACCCAGGTATGGAACCCGAGTTTCCTGCATTGCAAGCGGATTCTCTACCGCTGAGCTAGCAGGGGAGCCGCGCGCATGTGCAGATGCGTTTGTGTGTGTACCTTTATATTTTAGGTTTATATAGTCAAGCTTATTACAACTTTTTAATTCACCCTTTTTATTTATTTGAAATGCGGCTCTTTTGAGAAGGGGATGTTAAATCTCACTATTGTTACGGAAAAGTCATTTTCTTCTGCTTTTGATGCCTTTTTCTGCGCTATATGTTTTGAAGCTATGTAATTAAGTATGTAAAAGGTTTGTGCCATAAAAACTTGACTGATTGCATGTTTTATCAATAAGATTTTTCTCTCCTTTCACTTGATACTCTTTTTCTTTAATTCTGGTTTGCCTGATGTTATTATTGCTATATTTACTTTCTTTTTAAAAAAATTATTGATTTGTTATCTTGTTTTTCATTTTTTTCTTTTCAGCTGTCCCATGTTATCTTAGGTCTATATCTTGTTAACATATACCTGGTAAGCAGCATGTAGCTGGATATTTTAAAACTGCAGTGTGACAGTCTGTTTATTTCAATAGTGAACTTAATTAATCATTGTTTATTGTGATTACTGATGTAGTTGAACTTAGTCTGCTTTTATATTGGTGGTCTTCTCTGTGTCATTGCTTTCCTGTGATGATTTGAAAGTAAAAAATGTCTATTTCAAATGTTTTTTAGTGGTTAATGTTAAATTTTTATTACACATCCTGAAACTTAAACATTCTTAAACTTAACATTGGCTATCTATTTAGTAATCATTCTCTTCACCAAAATAAGAAACTACTCTTTAAAAAAAATTTTTTTTGTATATTCTTTTCCATTAGGTTTATCACAGGGTATTGAATATAGTTCTCTGTGCTGTACAGTAGGACTTTGTTACCTGCTAATTACAAACTCCCGGTTCTCCCCTCCCCCACTTTCTTTCTTAACGAGGCTTCACATTCAGTCTCTCCCTCCTAAGACACTTTCTGTCCTTTGTTGAGATCATTTATGATTCTGGATTCTGATGATGGAGGTTGCGTCTTCTTTTTTAAAAATATTTTTTTATTTATTTATTTGGCTGCATCAGGTCTTCATCGTGGTGCTTAATTGCTCCATGCCATGTGGGATCTTAGTTCCTCAACCAGGGATGGAACACATGTCCCATGCAAGGCAAGGCAGACTCTTAAGCACTGGACCACCAGGGAAGTCCCATGGTTGTTTCTTCTTAAGGAAGTATCAAGCCAAAGCTCTACCCCATTTGCTTACTTCTTACTTGTACTCCTGCATAATGACTGTAATGACTTTATATTTTTATTGTATAAGTAAGTGTGTTACCATAAAAACGTGCAGGATTGTTTGATGGTTTTTAAAATATTTACAAATAGTATTATATTGTATGTATATTTTTGCAGTGTTTTTAAAGTCACAATTCTTTGTTCCAATTGTTTGATTTGATAAAGTCTAATAGTTCTTTTAAACTTGGAATATAGTCAATCCTTGGATATTTGAAAATGGCTTATACCTCTTTTTGTCTCTTGGAAAACCTTAGGATTTTACTCTTTATCTTTGATTTCTAAGATTTCATTCAAAGGTTTAAATGTAAGTGTTTATTCAGAATTTTCTCTAATGTCATAAACTATTCTTGCCTTGCAGATGCAGTGTTCTCTTAGTCTCTGTGAGAATAATAATTAAAGTCTTCTGTTTCTTTATTAACTCTTTTTCCTTGAATATTATTAACTTTTCTCTTTTTGAAAAGAGACCTTGTGTTTGGTAGGGGCTTCCCTGATATCTCAGTTGGTAAAGAATCTGCCTGCAATGCAGGAGACCCCGGTTTGATTCCTGGGTTGGGAAGATCCACTGGAGAAGGGATGGCTACCCACTCCAGTATTCTTGGGTTTCCCTTGTGGCTCAGCTGGTAAAGAATCCACCTGCAATGTGGGAGACCTGGGTTCGATTCCTGGGTTGGGACGATCCCCTGGAGAAGGAAAAGGCTACCCACTCCAGTATTCTGGCCTGGAGAAATCCATGGAATGTATATGTATAGTCCATGGGGTCGCAAAGAGTCGGACACAACTGAGCGACTTTCGATTGTGTTTGGTACTACCTTTCATGGTGTTGCTTTTCCCAAATGTTTGGTAATTTTACTGGAATTCCTGCACTAGGATGTAAACTCCAGGAGAGCCAGGACCTTGATTGTTTCACTCTTCACCCCATCTAGATGAGTGCTCTCAGAAGTGCTCCAAACATGCAGTCTATGTTTACCTCTAATGCAACCCATGTGAAGTGAATCACACATGGTTTTCTGTCCATCCTCGTATTTCACAATCACTCTTCAGCTACTGATGACTCTCGGTTTTCGTTACCTTTGCCTGCCTTTTTGGACTAGGGAATGAGAACCCAAAGGAGATCCTAGTCCGGATGTGCCCATTTTTTGACGACTTTTGACTATTACGAAGAAGGAAGTAGTTCAGATTTATGTTATGGTGGTACACCTTGACTTCATCATGATGAAGGCTTTTTGTACTGCCTTTCTTCAGGAGGGTTAACAAGGACTCGGTGCACCTGCTTCATCATTTCATGTATTCTAACTCGAAATATAGTGACTACAATCCATTGTACACTGTTGTATTTATTAGTGGACTTGAAACTTCAATCTTGGGGTTAAGTTAACGTCCAGTAAATGAGCTTATTACTTTAGTTGTCTGTTCTGTAGAAGTACGTTTGTTGTGCTTTTCCTCTGGCTAGTTTGCCTCAATGCCCAAAGGTGGGGAGGAAATTTCGCAGGTTGGTAAGCATCCTGTGGATTATTTACTTTTATCTTTTAAGGACATTAGTATCTCTGTTGGGGCATGACTGAGTAAACTGTAGACTCTCTGGCATATTTTTGGCACTTGGGGTGGTATATTAACTATTTTAGTCAAATTGGCTAGAATTTTTTTCTAGTGGAAGTGTGGATTGCCAGATGGCAGTCTAAAAGAGGAAAATAGCAAATGTAACTATGGTTTTATTTCCTTGAGCACATATAAAAAAGTAGCATGTAATATTTTTAGAATGTTCTTTCTAGCAATAGACACACATGTCTCTTAACAT